TATAAATAGTATTATGTTTTATATATAAAACATAATAAGACGTTAAAAAATTAAAAGTCGCGATATGATGCTATTGCTCCGATAATTCATCGATGTCATAATGGTTCATATGAATTGCATGTCGGATAGCAATATTATCTATGTAATTAATAAAACAATGTATTTTGATTTAGATTAATCTAATGTACTTGTAGTATCAGAAATAAAAGATAAAAGTATAAATATACATTTTTTATTTTATAGANTAATGTAATTGTAGTATCAGAAATAAAAGATAAAAGTATACGTATACATTTTTTATTATTTTTGTTTAGATATGATTTTTATGGAACATGTTCATAATAGTAAATTAACAATTGTTGTAATTACATAAGTATAATAATTGCTTAAGTAATCAATTAAGATAATAGTTAGTTGGGTTGATAAAATCATTAATTTTAATTAAAGAAATTTTTAATGTATTTACATGTACCCAATTTGATTTTCTAATGGCTTGTGGCAATTAACTTCGAAGTATTTTCATAAAAAGTATGAAAATAATGTACGTTGATTTCAATATGTAAAATAATATAATACTACAATTAATATAAATGCTAAATCAACTGAGTAATTATTGGTTAATTAAATTGTTTAATAATAATTTATGTAATAAAATATGAACCTATTTTGGAACACTATCGGTAAATCTGATTACTCCCAACTTTTCAAAATCAGCTCTGTATGTCTCATATGACAACAAACCGTTATATTATTGGATCGTAAGATATATATGTATCTTATATTCCATATTGCCACTCGTCTTAAATTGTTTACTTATAACTTAATATTATTTTATGGAGTTTCGTAACTATCATTTTGGATATGCTATTTCATTGTTTAAAAATGTTTAGTCATTTTCCGTAGCTCTTTGTTTCAAGAAATACATTGTAGAAAAATATAATAAATATTTCATATGTTAGTATAATATCTTTAATAAAAACATTCATTTTGCATACTAGTAGTTTAATTTTGATGTGAAGATTTAAAAATTTGTAAATAAATATATAATGTTTATTACTATTTTTATCAAATTTTTACTAATACTGCATGTGTTAAAAACTTCTAATCCATTTTGGATTAGACCTATTTATGGACAAGATTTAATAGGCCTCAAATAGTGTTTTTGAGATGACCCCATTTTTTTATAACCTATTTTTTGCTCACCAAAAAATTTTACTATGTATTGGTAATTGCAAAAATATTAATGAATAAAAAAAAAATAACTGTAAGACCACTAAATAAATTCAAAATCTTGAAGCCCGAAGGTCAGTCTCCACTCTTAATCCTATTAATACATGTATTAATGAAAAATATGAAAATTTGAACATTTTTTAGAAGAGTGGAGTTATGTATTTATGATTTCTATTTGGTCACACTTATGATAGCCAAGATTCACATTAGGTCTTATTTGTAACTGGAGTATATTATGTTTCTATACAACTTTAATTTACTTACTACAATAAAAAAATAAAATGTACGTAATAAAAAAAACGTAAAGCTTAANTAACTGGAGTATATTATGTTTCTATATAACTTTAATTTACTTTCTACAATAAAAAAATTAAATGTACGTAATAAAAAAAACGTAAAGCTTAAAGAATTTTCAATGTAAAGAGCAAATTATTATAATGTATTGTTTTGTTCATTACTATATTAATTTAAATATACAATTGAAGATTTAGGTTTGTTAGAATATTAGTAATATGTATTTTCAAAGACGGTTAAAACTAAAAATTTAGCTAAACATTATATAATATTTTATTAAAATATCTTTTGACTTATATAATCCAAAATAATATTTTCTGATACAATCTAAACGCCATTTTAGATATAGTTTTTATTATTTATTTATTAATTTTTAATTATTTTATATATAGCATATGGCTTGCATGTTTAGATTTTTAATATTTACCTGTAACCGCAGTAAATGTCAGGGGATCTTCTATGAAGACTATTAATATATTATAATAACAGCACATCACGCTAAAATAGGGTGTGTTTGAGCAATGAAAAAATGGCTTCTTATAATCAGGTATTAAAGTTAAGTTAATATTCTTCAATATAGTAATAAATGTTATCTATGAGCTATTAAAAATAACATTAACGGTATTCGCCATAGCTATAACGGTTCAATAGTTTATGAAGAAATTACATTTCATCAGTTTTTATGTAAAATTACTGTAAAATGTTAATTTTACGCCGTGCATCTCTGATAGGAATAAACATTGGCGAAATCAAATTAAAAAAATATAAACTATATGTGAAATGAACTATTCGCTTTAAATACGATTTGTTAACACTTATTAAAGATTACAGATATCTTTTACACTAAAATGATGTATTTTAAATTACGGTTGCAAAGATTATGTAAGTCGGTAAATTATTTTAGTTTGCTTGTTAGCGTATTTTAAATAGTACTATTGTTTAAAATTATCTTTATAAGATTCAAAGCAACAAAACATACCTAAAAGTTACTCAATAAAAATTTTTATTATTTGTTTCAAATGATAAAAAATACACTTTTAACATAGTTCAAAATTGTAAAATAAACGTAATGCAAAATATTTTCTAGATTAAAAGTTTTGATATTTGTCAAAATATCTATTTCTAGATGTTTTTTGATGTTATCTTTTCCACTAATTCATCTTTAGATATACATAGTAATAGAATTTTGTATTTGTTGCTAACACTGTAAGTTTATTGTTTTGCTGCTTAATAATACTTCATTGTATGACTACCAGTCAATCGAATATTAATATATTTTTTTTCCTTTTAAAACTACCAAGAATATTTTTACTGCCTGCTAGAAATTCTAACGATTTGAACACGCTAGAAACCTCAATATAATCAATTGTAAGCTGTAGAAACACTGTATTTGTACAAGGCTGATGAATGTAACAACTGACTTTGACGATTAGAACTGCATGTTGTTCATTTAGATATACCAGTAGCTCATATTTGGCAAAAAGTCACTAAATATAATAATAGAAAGGTCGATTTACTTGAGTCACATAGACAATAAAGAAGGAAAATTCCGTTTAGATAGGTTAGAATATTATAGTAAAAAGCACTTTTCTTTTATTTAAAATATAAAAAGCAAATTCTTAAGGGCCATCCAGAGTTTTTTACTAAGTCGTTAGCTGAAATCATGATACAACGTGTATTTTATCGTGTACAGCTTAGTTAGGTTTTATTCAAACTCATGCATTAATAAATAAGAGTAGGTACATGAGACTCTTTGCAAGGCTATATTATGAAGAAGAGGTCGTGTGCGTGTTGTATCTCTATCGTAGACTTATTCAAACGTCCTTTTTAAAAATTGCTTGTAAGGATAAAGTCCCGCGTAAACAGCGTTTTGCTTGGTAAAAATTGAGGCAATGTAAGAATATTGCGTTGGAATGCTGAAGAGTTGAGAACTCATATATAAGTAAATATTGTGTCTATGGTGATCGACGAAGTGAGACGAAAAACATATATTTTTGGTTGTTGTTGAATAAGCGCGTAGGTATACAAACATCAGAGTAAAGATAATTGCACATGGTCACATGGAGAACGTTTTTATAACGGTCGACCGGTACTTGGGGGACCATGTAATTACTGTAAAAACAAAGAGTGTTTCCGACTCACTGCAGTGGAATTTCACTTTTATAAACAATGAAAAATTAGCAATAGTCTTAATATACCATAGTGTGGAATTGTTTGTTTCTTAAATTTGAACATAAAATAACAAGAGCATAAATATAAGTTATTCAATAGTAGCCAGTAGTGCTGCAACTATTAAGTTGGGGGCCCGTGTACAGATAATACCCCACCCCTCACCATAATTTTAAAAATAGTGAGTATGAAACCCTGGGCCCGTATGCCTTGCAAAAACTACATACTCGGTTTTACGGTACTGCTTATGAGTTATTTTCAATGATGAAGTTAAAAACAAGAAGAATTGGTTTGCAATTATTCAATTACGAGTTATCACTGTTTTTAGTTTTATAAAACTCAAGAACGATTTAAATGCATTGACTTAAAAAATATATAACTGCCCAATTGTATTATAAATACAAGATGATCGTTAGATCTGATAAAAATATTACTCTCATAAAATTTCGTTTCAAATTTCAAAGGTACTTATTTCATTGATTTTAATTTAAATTCAAAATTTTTAAGTATTAAAAGGGGTAAAATACGTACAATTTATCCTACTGTTGAACTGACACTTGCCGCTGGTAAAATAATTGAAATCCATTGCTAAAGGTTACTAAGTTCATAAACAAAATCCTTGGTAGAAATGGGTTTGTAATTAAATTTTTGTAAGTTGAGTGAGTTAGTAAATAATATCCTGCCAGACTTATTCGGATTCCTGCCTCCGGGGGTTAATTAGATATTTAACATCGTTAGTAATTCTGATATAACATCTATAATTATAGGGATAAGTTTCTTTAGAAATAATTTGTATACATATGTTGTAGTAAACATTTAAAAATATGACAATATTGTGTTTGTTCACCAATTTTATGATTTTCGAAACGTATAACTAAATGGTGACAAAAATATAAAAATAGAAAACCTGATAATATTGCATATCTAAAAAAAATGTAGAATCTAAATTAATCATATTTTAAATTAAAAAAAATTAAATTGAAATATTTATAATGACTAAATCTAAGAAATAAATTATTTATGAAACTTATATAAATATTTTTCTAAGTAACGTTATACAACATATTTAAAAAACTTCACATACAGAATTTTTTTTATACAGGGTCGCGTACGTCATAATGAGTACCTACACATTTAATGTAACAACTGTACTTATACATCTCCATGGGAATATTCCCACGTATGAACTTGGATTTAAATTACACACGCTGTATAAGTTTTGTTCGACGTTTCTCTCATTTTAATTTGGACTATATCCAGTTATTTAATTTTCTATGTACTAAAATGGACCGTGTGTGTATTTTCAGATTTCGCTCAAGATTGCGTAAATGGACGCCCGAAATGTGCCGTAGCTATAATGATATACCACCAGAAATATGACCAATGATCCTCACTTCTTAAAGGCCCTCAAAAAACACCCAGACAGGAGGACCTTACAGGTACTATATCTATTTAATGTTTTTCAAATATTACTTATGTGCTCCACTCTATTGAAATATTTATTACAAAACTAAAAAATAGTTGATAGATAATTTAAGTTTTTATGCCCTTCTTTCTACACTAACAAGTTGTAGGTTTGTATGATTATAACTTTTGTAATAAAATACTAACCGAGGTAATCATGAATAACTTCTTATTTATACATATTGAAAGTCGTTGTAGGTACTTTTTTAGAAGAAATCTGTAGTTATTACAAAATAACATATTTGCTCTGTGTTTATTGTCCAGTTTTCTCATTGTTTTAACCTTCAGTCATTTTTTATATTATTAAAACTAAATAATATACATTTAAAACTAATAATAATAAGAGCTCTTATGCATATATTTCAGTTATTGCAAAAACTATTCCTCATATTTAAATAATCACATTATGATTCCCAGTGACGCCGGGACCGGGGGGCAGATTTTTCCTTAGTTAAAATACGAGGGGAGCAAAAGTATCATTATGCCCCCTCAATAGAATCTGACAAATAAAAATTAAAATAAATCTGGAAATTAATATAACCCTACCAAGCTTAATTATTTAGCTATTCGAATTTTAGGATTAAAAAGTGTTAATGAATTTACCAGTTAATGAGCTTCAATTGTATATTAAAAAACGGTAGCACAGTGGAGTCGTGACATAGTAGGGACAAGTATAGATGATATTTGACAGTGATTAAAATAATTATCGTAAGAAACGCTTCGATACATATCTGTAGATAATTTAATTAAAAAAAATATGGTAGATTATTAATTAAAAGCAAAACTAAGTTTTTTTTTTGTTCTACTTCGACTGCCATTGGAACATAGAAAATAATATTTTCGAATATATCACATATTATGTCGTCGATACAAATTATTTTTTTGAACTTCATTTTACATAAACTTTATTTTAATATATATTTAAAAGACGCAGATTTTCAAATGGTAAGTTGAAAATGTTCTACTTTTTATATGTATGTTTCAAGTTTTGAACGGCCTTTGTATAAGAAGAACTTGCCGATTTAAAAAAAAATATATTTCGGATAAAAGGGGTATATATAATGTATTTAGAAACAACAATTTTTGTCGAACTACATTTTCCAAAAAGTTATAGCAATTTAAAATTGAAAACTTATAATCAAAAATCGAAATATTTAACACAAAAATAGCACTTTTTTAAACTACAGCAGCCGTTTGCACGTAGAAGAAAAGTCGTTGGGACAATTTTTTTAAATTTATAGTACGATTTATAAGTTTTAATTTGAAATTTGTTTAAAGGACGCAGTATTTTCAGAACATTTTCAAAAGTTAAGTTGAAAAAGTTGAATAATGTAAAAAAGTTGCTGTTTTGAATCCCCTTTTGTGGGCAGATAAAGGGTCAGAATTTTCAAAAATATTATATCAAATAAAAGAGAGTTACTTAGGGTTACAATATAAAAAAAATTATTTTGATTTGTTCATTTTTGAATAAGTTATGACAATTTTTAGAAAAAAAAGTGAACAAAATTTACTGATTCTAAAAATCGTCATTTTTTGGGAGATTTTCACCATTTACGGAGAACTAGGGAAAAATGTTTAATTTTTGAAGATAGTGTCTTCAACTAGATACGATTGATGATCTTTTGATGTATCGTTGAGAAGTGATTCAGTGAGAGCTGAATAAAAATTGTGACAGACACAAAAAAAAAAAATAAATAAACATATGGTATAATACTTTGCATCGATGCTAATAATGTGTATTATTGAGAGAAAAATTTATAAATTACCAGATTTTTTTATATGATCACTAAAATCCATTAAAAAATAGTTTAACCCGCTTTTTAGCTTAGTAACAACCAAGGGAACTGAGTTTTTTTAGTCATTAAATTTTTACTCCCCCCTCTCCATGTAAAAAATAGTTCCGGCACCCTTAAGAAATTTGGTTTTTAAAAATTGAATATATCTAGTTATCTGTTAGGCAGCAAACCTAGCTTAGTTGGGAACGCGTTTTCCCTCAATGAATAGGTATCGGGGTGCGATTCCGATGCGTTGGGCTATGTGGGTTTTCCCGTCCTGTATGGCACCAGAAATAGCTTTAAGAGGGAACGATAAATATGACTAATAATAATAAATTAAGAATAATAAAAATGATAAATAAAAATTATTTGAATTTAAATTTTCTAACTTGAATTAACGCATTAAAAATTCTATAATTTAATTTTAACCTAAGTAAACATAACTCAGAAATCTAAATGTGAGAAGTAAAGTCTAAATCTTCGACTATTAACATATCGATTATGTACTGAAAATAAAATAAAATATATATTTGTGGAATACAAGTAAGTATTTTTCTAAATTCATAAATTAATTTATTTTAGCAACGCTGAGAGTATATTTTTGACATTCTTGGTTTTGTTCCAGTTTTTTTTTTAACGTTATGATTTGGTTATTCTACTAGTTTAATTAAATTATGTCTGAGTGTACCAACTAATTATTTGTCAAAGATTTGTAAGAATGATGTCTATATTAATTCCGTTATTACACAATAATCGAACTATAACAAAATAAACATTTAACATTTTATTCGTTTTGTTAAAGGCCAATCACAATAAGTACAATTACAAAATATTTATAAACTGTGTACAATTTTACTAAACTTAACAAAATTTTTAATTAAGTGAAAAAAAATCGTATATACTATGTATTAAGATATACATTAGATATTTATTCAAAAGAACGGATCAGTACTAAGCACTTGTGGTATGAAGGTAATTCGGTGAAATAAAAATGTGGCAGTCTAATGAAAAATAACATGCATTTGAGTTTTTATTAATATAAAATCTGCAATAACTGTTACTAACAGAACTCTAAAAACAATAGATTTTTATCTCTTTAAAATAGTTTGTATTATAATGTTTTATTGTTTTTTAATAGGATCTGCAAATTATTTACTATGGCTTACAAAGTTTGGAAGCGCTGTATACTTATAGGGATTCTGCCTTGCGCACCATGTGTAAATCTGTTAGATATGAACGTCATGATGCCAATGACGTCCTATACTTGTAAGTATTTGACAAATTTATTATTTTTAAATTTTAAACTATTATAATAAAATCTTTTAAAGAATGTAAGGTTATTTTTTACAAAAATATTATTGATATGCTAGTAGTATTTTTATCATTTAAAATATGATTTTATGGGGTGGTGATGTGTCGCAGTGGATCATTCAAAGTCGCCTTTGTGCATATAGGCGATTAACTGTCATTAATGTAGTAGTATTAGTATTTGCGTTTTGGTATATTAAAGTTATTTCTTAGTAGATCGTATGAATGTTCCAGAAAGCATTTGAAATAATCGGGTAGAAAGGCATTGAAGATTTTTAGTATATGAAAATGTTGTTAATACTTTTGACAAAATATTTTTAATTTATGAAAAGTAAAGGTGAATCATATTTTAAACAAAATATTACGCTTTACGATGTTAAAGATGTAGGGTTCAAGAACCATGTTATATTTAGATATTTTATTCTTAGTTTATTTCACGTGTTATTTATGATTACGATTTTTATTTCTCAGTTAAATGTTACAAATATTAAGAGGGA